TTTGCACCTGATTTCCATTTGAAGTTTCAAGCCATGGACCGAACTACAGATATAGTGTAGTGACCTTACATCAGCATGAAAATAGAGCCCTAGGAACGGGTGTGCGAGTATTGAAGGATCTGTGTCCAAATGGCTTGTTGCACTGTCCCCCCTCTGTGGACTAGCAACACTCGAATTGTCAAATGTCACTGTAGAAAACCTGATATTGGACAGGCCTGAATCTTGACCGAGGCTCTCAGTCAACAAAGAGCTTAGTAACTGAGAAAATATGCTATGAAATTCTGCTCCGTAATATCAAGCTCAAAATTGACAACGGTATTAAAATAAATGAACACACAAGTATACTTGAGCACCAGTCGAAGCAAATCTCAATCGGAGGGCACATCATAAACCTCGTTGGATGATGGAAGTTGAGGGGGGTGAAGAATGTAGTACATTCTGGAAGACGAGGAAGAAATGTGCCAATGAACATGCAAATAAACTTGAGCACCAGTTGAAGCAAAACTCAATCGGAGGGCACATCATTTTAGTTGGGGGGGGTGAGGAATGTAGTACATTCTAGAAGACGAGGAACAAATGTGGAAAGAAAATATTAAGAGAAATGAGCACGTGCAAGGAACATGAGCAACAGCGATATACAGAAAACCAAGTTGCGAAATCACGCAGATGTCCAAGTAGTCATGTACAAGCAGAGAACGCCAATGCACCGTGATTCCATCCAGATAAGAGCAATACAATGAACTTACGAGTCAATGTCCAAGCCCTCAGGCCACACCAACACTGTATCCAATGTCGCTCCTACTCTGTCTGGCGCCCAGCGTCCAGCCTACATTACTCGCCTATCCTACTACACCAGCGTTCACGCAACAGGCTCACTTCGACTTTGGAGACCAAGGTACGTGACGTCAACACCATAGCTCACCTCCCTCATGCACCAGGTATGTATCTCGTCTCTCCCCTCATCACCCCTGACTTCCCACAGTGTGCATTCTCAACACCTAAAGACCACGATCGCCATCCAGACCTGCGCCCACTGCCCAGCAGTGCACCTCACACCCCGGCGCCCGTGCACGCGACCCAGCCGGCAGCTTCGTGCAGATCACGAAGTTGTAACGCAGCAGCGTGGCCGCATTGCCTGCCTAGGCCAGAATGCCCTGCCCAGCGATGCTCACTTTCCTATATGGAAAGTGAGCTCAGCCTCTGCTGCCTCTGGTCCTGGCTGGGCGAGCATCCAGTAGCTTCCGGGCCTCAGTGCCTGCGCCCAGGCCCAGTTGCAGTTATGGGCCTGCGCCCTTTACAGTTGGGCATGTCCAGGCAGTCCACGGGCCTCCACATGTTTGCTGTGATCTCATTGGCTCACGGCCACTATGTGCCGACAATGCTGCAATCTCATGGTCCGTGGCTGTTGTATGATGTGTCAGCCTCTGAAAACACACACCCAGGGCCTTAACTGTACGGGGCCCTGACTCAACTGCCCGTTGAGGCTGCAAATTCCGGAAAGAGCCTAGAGAGGCTCGCGTTGCTCTTTAACCGACTGGTATGCTGCAACTGTCTGATACGCACATATGGAAAAATGTCAAATCTTGGCCTCTTGTGAATATTCAGGCCCGCCTTCACTTAGGGTGGGCACAGGGCTTGCTGGGGGCCTCTTCCCAGAACATGTGCATGTCTGTTAAGGGCCCTGCGAGGGCTTATTCCCCACACATATACGGCCCCTTTAGGGTGATCACACTGGCCTGTACCCAGGCCTTGGCACATATTGCCGAGGCGTCACATCCTCGCATACCTTCCCCCTTAGCTTTGAAAGTCCCGTGAGACGCCTTTAAATTCTTCATCCACCTGATGTCTGCAGTGACTTGGTGCGGTAGAACTGCTTGTAAGATACAGAAGATATGACTTCTAGGAGGCCTTATTTTGGATGTGTAATGACGAACACAGACTGAGAACATTGCTGATTTCTGGTATCTGCCGCTGGAATGAATGCCTTGCTGAGGTTCCCACATTCTGTTGTGATTTCCAAGTCTGTGTGTGTGTGCGTGCCTGCTGGTTTGCATGCCTGTCTGAGTGCTTGACGGCCTGACTGTGCGTGGCCCACAAGGGTACTTGTTGGTTGAAAGGCCCCGCAGGGCCGATACTTACCTGTGGCCGTGGCTTTGAGGGTTGCAGTGGGGAAAACACTCAAGTAGCAGGTAGGCCGGTACCACTCGAGTAGTGGTAGAAGTGTGGGGTACTGGAGGTCGGGCAGAAGACAAAAGTTGGCATTTTTAGAGTCCCAGTAGCGGTAGGTTAGAGGTAGGCCAGTACCAGTCCAAGTAGCCTGAGTCTAGGGCCTGTCCGGATGATATCAGAGCCTGCAATGATGTTACTTTCCAAAAGGGAGGAGGTACTGGTTGCTGGGAGGCCGCTCGGCCTAGGAAGTCACTGCCCAAGAGGCCAGCAGGCCGCTATATCTTTGAGAGGAGCAAGCAGCTCCTCCTCATTTGCAGTATGCAAGGATTGGCGACATGCTGCTGGAGCCAAGCGCTGGACTAGGGAAGCGCTGCCTGGAGGAGAAGAGCAGCTGGGCGCTCAGCCTGGCTATGGCGAGCAGCCCAGCGGAGGAGGAGGAAGAAGGGGATGAAGGAGGAGAGTGGTGAGGTACCTACCTGGCTATGGTGGACACCATCGTCATCACCTTGTTGGGCTCTGCATCTGGAAGGCCCCAGTTGGCGTAGTGCCACACCAAGGAAGCTCGAGACAGAGTCAGGCATGGCGGCTCAGTGAGCAGCGGCATAGCTGCTTTGGGTTGTCCTTTGGACAGGAGTGCAGCGACATAGCTGCTTTGTGTTGTCCTTTGAACAGGAGGCAGAGCCCTTAGTAGTCTGCCATAGCCTAGGCATGTCAGAGGAGGAAGGAGGGGGGAGCCATAGCTATGGTGGACCTGTTGTTGTGTCAGCAGTAAGAAGGAACTTTGGATATTGATTCTGGTTCATCCACTCATTGTTATTATTATTATTGGAAGAAGAATAAGATTGGCGAAGTGAAGGAGGAGGACGGTGGAGAGAGAAGGGGGATTTGTCATTGGTCTTGCTGGTGTACATTTTCTTCTTCTTCTTCTTCTTTCTCTCTTCTTTGGTCTCTATCTCTTTGCAAGTGCTTTCATTTTTTTCGCAATTGGGTGGCATTGTCTT